TCAGCATCTCCAAAACTATTAAGAGAGTCCTCTGGTCTCTTCTGGGGCACTGCTGAAGACTCCTCAGGGGACTAAATTCCAAAACACCAACTAGAGCTTCCCCACAACTTTGCAGTGAGCAGCACTAGCCTCCACTAGTGCTATACATGCTCTGAGCATTACACTCAACAAGTAGCCAGATGGGTCTTGCAAAAGCTTGAATTCAAGCAGTCTTGCAGGGCAGTGAAGTCCCTGGCAGCAGCAGAAGGGCTCAGGGTAAAAGGAAGGAAAGAAGTCTGCCTCAAAAAACAAAGGCTGCACTCTTAAAGGAGGCTGCAGATTAAGATACTTCCTCATAAAGTTAAAGCTGTTTTGATCTCAAAACACCACACCAAGCATCTCGACCAGTGGTTATCATGCTGATCTTTCTCAAATTTACCTATCCTGCAATCATCTCAGCCATTGTTTCATCCATTCTAAAATTTTAGAGATGGGCTGAGTAGTGTTCTACAGTCCCAACAGCCTCTCGTATGACTGAGAGAAAAAGCTCAGTACCCTCATAATGCTCAAAGTTCTCACTGCCACAGATACTTACTAACGCAGTTGGGAGCCTCAGGTCCGCTTTGAAAGAGAAAGTAACTGGATGTGGCATTTTCAGCCCCTCCAGCAAAACCATTTTCACACAAAACTTTAACTTCATGGTGAACATGTGGCACAAACTGTTTCTATATTCCTGTTTTTGGAATCAAAACAACTTAACCTATCTCCATGAAGGCAAACAAAACCTTTGGCAAGCTTATATAAAGGTACGTTCCAAATCCTAAAAAATTCAGCAACTGACGTAAGCAGGCCTGGGAGTCATCACAGTCTGACACATGCTAACTGTCCTCTCCAAGCTGCTCTCCAGTTTTTGTGCTCTGACATTGCATCAGCACCGTCACTGCAGAACCTTTCAGCTTCTGTACGTGATGAGTAAGTTTATTTTACCTTTAGCACCATCAGATCATCAAAGCTGCAGTCCACAATGAGGCGGAGCGTACTGGGAACAGCTTCCCTTCGCATACGCTTTCCGTCATTCCCTTCGTTACTGGAGTCCAATTTTGACTGACGTTCTAGTTTTCTCTTCTGGCGTTTTTCTTTTCGTTTCTGCCTAAATAAACAAACAAACCAACTTTCAAACAGTGCTGCCAAATCTGCTGAGGGTAGGTTATGCACATAAATTAGTACTTTCGTGATCAAGGTAGTCGTCCTATGACTGTGGCAGTTTAAATTTAGCCTGTTGCATTTGTGCTAGGCTGACACTCGCACGGAACACATGGCCCCGCCTTTGTGAAGTTCTGTATATACCTACAAAGACAGACAACTGTCACAAATCCAGTTAAATCAATAGTGACAGTCTTATGGATTTAAGGGTGCTCCAAGTCACGTCTCGTATAACAGAAACGATGAAAAAGATTGCCAAAATTGCAGGATCTTAAATCAGAATGCAGAAAGCAATTTAGCTCCTGTTTCACTGAACAGTTTTTCAGAAGCCTTGGAAGCAATTCTTTCTTCCCCCTGTTCTCCACCGGAGCAGGCAGCTGGGAGATCAAATTTCAGAGACAGCAACTTTAACAACCACTGTCTGGGAAAGGAACACTTATTCAGCAGGCCAAGGATAAACCACCATCAGCCCATTTGCAGATATGCTTTCTCTCAACAACAGAACAATGCAGAAGCTCATCACCTTCCAAAACTATTTTAACAGACTGCAAGTCAGCGAAACTTACACCACACCATTTCATGTGCCAAAAGAAGTTTTTTTATCCACTGTCCTTGTAAGATTCGCCATTATGACAAACCAAAACCATGCAAGTTAGAATCCCTCCTGACAGCCTCTTTAAGTTAAGGAACACTTCTAGTACGGAGAGAGGATGCTTACCTTTACAGCTCATTCATATGCAGATGTAGTCACCTGGACTACAGCTTTAAACCTGGGATGGGAGAAAACTGGTTCAACTGCCTTGATTAGCTAAAGCAATCTACAAGCAAATGTTGTTAACACATCATTATTAGCACTACAGACGACAGGTGATCTAGGAAAGCTACTTTGCAAACCATACCTCCGCATATCTTTCTGTTCTTCCCACTGTTTCTGCTTCAATAGCTTCTTCCTTTGCCTCTTGGACATAGGTTCGAGACATTCTTCCTGGTCGGAGCCTGCCTCCAGTCTCTCTACTGGACTGTCACTTGACTTCACCTCGCCCTGCACCTCTGGAACTTCAGGGGGCATGGTATTTTCCACTGGCACCTGTGGACCTTCTGGTGGCAGTTCTGATGACATTAGTTTTTAGCAGGGTTTGTTGACTTGTTTCTCAACACATGATAAATATTTCATTAAAAGCAAGCTTTTCCATCACCAATTCTGTAAGAAACAAACCAATAGCGTGTTTATTAATAAGATGTTCAATTAGAACAAACATCACTCTACACCTACCATTAACCTGAAGGCAGAAAAAATAATAAAGAAGAGATGGCCTTCTTTTCCTTGAAGTTAGATTAGTGCCTCTGCAAACAGTAACATATAAAATACTACAGAGATTATAACATGACTAAAACTCTGCCTGCCACACCTGTAGCTATTCAACCATTTCCAATTAAAAACTGTTAAAACACAGCTGCACAGAAGTAGAGAATCATACTGGATTAAACTTAAAAACCATTAGCAGTACTATTATGTGTACACAAAGTATTCCCAAAGCAGCCTGTTAGAGAAATAAAAATTTAAAGACACGGAAGCCATTGGGCGGGGGGAAGAATTTGAACAAGCTGTAACCCCTTCAGAATGAATTTCTATTTGTTTCTTCTGAGAACCAAAACCACTGGCCAACCACTGATGCTGGCCACTGCCACTGGACAAAACACAGCATATAATGGGATGAACAGATGAAACTGTTACTCAGCAAAACCTTGTGTGTTCAAATTAATAACAATTATACTCTGTCCTTTCCAATAGCAAGTATTATTCTTCCATACTAGCACCTCCTCTGTGCTCAACAGCCACACAGCTTCCCAAAAACAACTATTTAACACTGCACCAATGGGCCAACATGCAAGAAACCCAATCCCATGGCTCCTTTGGGAACAGAAGGGCCGGAAAACAGGCCAAACACCAGAAAACCACATGTGCTTTAGCTCACACACCCCCATTTCCCTGCCTGGGGGCATTAAGACAAAAGGCCCAGGGAGCAGAGATGCTCAAAGGTGACACATGGCACAGCCCCGCAGGTGCCTCTGTAACCCCCGCAGCACTCGGCCCCGCAGGTACCCAGTGCCACACACATCCGCC